AGAGCGAGACAGAGCGAGACAGAGCGAGCGAGCGAGGGCAGGCACAAACCTGACCAAGGACTCCGATGATGATTGGGCACTGCAAGCCACATGGCTCGCATGGGCTGCCCTTGTGGCCTCTTGTTGCTACATCTTCGCCCCGAACTTCCGCAGCTTCCGGCTGCGTGGCAGTGAGGACAGCGAGGACCCTTCAAAAGGGGGGGGATCCTGCAAAGCCCCTTGCCGTGACTAATATCTCTGTGCAGGTAGGCAAGCAGGTAGGTAGGCAGCTGGGTCAGTGCGGATGTATGCAGGTACACAGGTACGATTTCTGGGCATGCAGGTGGTACAAAGGAAAGTCTGTCCGTCGGTCTGTCTACCGTCTACCTGTCTGTGTTCTGCATGTCTGTGCGTCTGTCTGCGTGCAGGTTTGTATGTGTGCATGTAGGTATGTAAATGTAGTTAGACAGCTAGATGGAGAAGCAGGCAAAAACAGACATTGTTTTATGACGCAGAGAAATGGTGGTGTGTGGGTTGGAAGCCCTCCCGCAATTAACCCTAAGCCCAAAATGCCTAAATGCCGGATCCCCAAAGCCCAAACGTGCACTGAGAAAGCCAGGAGGAGTTGCCAAGACGTCGGGATCCCCCCTGGCTGCCGAAGCAAAGGCCCATTTCTGCTGTTTCAGTGCAACAGCAGCAGGGCTTAGTTTATCAAACCCTCTTATCCCTTGACCTTAACCCAAAGCCCATGGTTAAAAGCAACGTGAGGCCAGTTCCAGAGCGAGCGCCGGAGGACCACGACAGCAGTCCCGGCTGGAGTGCTCCCAGCGGAAGCAGCTAGGTTTACGTAAAACAAATATGGAACTGTTTCGTTTTAGTAGAGTCTTTTTATGTGTAAATTCCAAATCTTTGTTTTTTTTTACTGTTGTGGGAAGAAAACTTGGGTATGGCAGAGGCTTCAAAGTGATGCTTGCGTGTCTTAATCGGTTGTTGATGGTTTGGGCCGGGGAAGAGGAGAAGGATGCCCGAGGTGGTATGACTTTCTTTTTGGGTTTGGGGTTCAAGGTTTAGGCTTCGATTTTCGGTGGATCGTACTTATTTAGAGTTTTAGTATGAAGCTCAAACCATGAATCTTAAGCGCCCGAAAAGTCCTGAACAGCACATATATGCCCTATAAAAAGATGCCCCACGGAAAAATACGAAGAAGCATGCAAAACATCGATACAAACAAATCCGAACAAGCGTCCCAGGCCCTTCGAGTGGTATCCCTCCACTTGATCTGTCGACGCCGATGCGCTACGGGCCCAAAGCGGCCGGTATCATCCGATCCATTGACGAGGCGGGTTGAATCTAGCGGGATAAACCCAAGGACTCAGATATTGCTCTCTTGAAGCCAAGCCATGGTTCAAGAACATTCCTTAAGTCATGATAGGGTTCCTGAACAAGGGGTCCTTCAAGTAAGAGATATTGGAGTCTTTGGGCGATCAGGCCTACGCTTAGGGATGGGCATTAGGCATGCAGCGTCTTGGGGTTCAGGGTTCTTCTTTGGGTGTCCTACAGTAAACGCAGCGACCCGCAAATTTGCGATATGGATATCAGTGCATTTCTGTCATAGTCGGAGCTTTGGCCAAAGGGAAGTCTTGGATGCACGGCTTCGAGTATGGCATAAACCTTTTGAAACATCCAAAAAGTGGTTGACACATAATGTCAGCATGACTTCTTGGGGCTTCCATGTTTTGAATCATGTGAAGAGTCTGGGAACTTCAACATATTCACAGTTGGCCAAGGATTTAGCCGCCAAGATCGATGCGCCCGAAGACGAGCGGAAGCGCATCATGAGAAAGTATCTGATGCGCTGGCATCCAGACGCCTGGTCGCCCGAAGCACAGACACGCTAACAACAATAACAAGCAGACCCCACACAAATAGAAGGAGAGGCACGCACACACACACACAGAAATAAAGACAAAAACTGAAGACTCGCACATTGTCTCACACATAAACCGAAAACCTAACGAACGCTAGCATTGTACAACATAGCATAGCATAGCATAGCATAATACTACATAGCATAGTGTGACAGAACAAAACACGACATAACGTGGCATACATGCATAACCCTCGTACATATGTGCGTACGGACCTACCTGCACACATACGGTCCGTACATGTATGTACATACATACATACATACATACATACATACATACATACATACACACATACACATACCGAAAGATGTCTATACTGACTCATGCATATTGAATGACTGTATCTATGTATGTATGTAGGCTTATAGACAGCCAAAGACAGTTGATTCCAAATCATGAGATTCGCTCCGGCATACTAGATGGTCTGGGCTGTCTAACCTTTGTGTTTCACGGTGTCAGCATATAGGTTTGGTGTTGCATCCAAGTCTTGCGGCGCTGTGCTGCTGGGGCTAAGGGCACGATGTTCTATTTCAGCAGGCTTGGTTAAGGGTTAAGAGATTAGCTTTAATATTTAAGCTGGTGTTGATCCCGACTGGCTATCACGCTGCTGCGACCCTTAAACTTTCTGTAAACTGCATAGAGTCCTTGCAGCAAAGGACAAGAACCAAGAGGAGTCCAAAGAGACGACCACCGCTGTGATTCAGCACCTCTATGCAACTTGCCTCAAGGGTTGGAGGTTGTGCCAGCGGTGTAGTTGGCCTCACGAGAAACTCAGATGTTCATAACCCGTAAACCCTCTAGGGTTTTGCGATCAAGAGCGTAGTCACTGAGCAGGCAACCTTCAAGCACTTGGCGTTCAACAGCACCACCAGAATGTAAAGGCAATCCCTGCTCGTGTCGGTGAATTTCGCGACTAGGACACGCTGTAGAAGAGGTTCTGAACTCAAAACAGAGCCCAAAGATTTATTGAAATTTGACTTTCAGAGTTCAGGGCTGGTGACCTTGCATAGAATAGAAGAACTCCTGGATTAAGCCTTTCCAGCACGAGGTGCTACCGAACCGACGCCCAAAACTTTGCCGTGATACAGAGGTCTGAAAGAGTAATCCCCTTGTATTATAGTCCCTAGCATACTATAGTCCCTAGACCCTAAACCCTCTTATGTATCTAATCTTGCCCGAAACCCCATTCGATGCATTCAGGACCCTATACACCACGTGTTCCGACATCTTAAGCCAGGAAACCCAGAACCCTGAGCACAGCGAAAACCAAAAGGCAAAAGATGAAAACATGAGTATATGTGAAAGGATATATATATATATACACACATACATATGTGCATAGAAACTGGTAGATGTGCGTGTATATGTATGTATGTATATGTACATAAGTGTGTGTGTGTATATATATATATATATGTGTATATGCATGCGTATTCGTGTTTGTATGTGCATATCAGTTTATATGTATATATATATATATACCTACATTTATATACCTATATATATATATATACACATATACATACATACGTATATAAAACAAACAAAGACCAGGCGAGGAAGGCTTGGTTCGTGGAAGGGGCTCCAGCCCACGAGGGGGCGCCGTTGCTGCCCTGAGCCCGAACGCCGCTTGCGCGACAGAAAAAACAAACCCGAAACCCGAAACCGATAAACCCTAAACCCTAAAACCCTAAACCCCAAACTCTAAAACCCTAAACCCCGAGGCCGAAATTTGGCGGGTGTGGGGTTGGATAAAATTTCGGGATTTTGAAACCGAGGGCTTGAGAGTCTGCGTTACCCCTTAGGGCGTTGGGGTGTAGGGTATGATGGGATAAGCAGGGTTTAGGGTTTAGGGTCAAGATTCATAGGAAGGAGGAATAGGCAGAACTTTCAAAAGCCTAGACAATTTCTTGGCCCCTGAACCCCAGCCAGCCATGAAGGCCCTTTGAGCGGGATCCACTTCGAAATGTCCAAGCTTTCAAGTGCGCACGAAACTGCCTCGCTAATACAGGAGCCTTAATGATTACCTATAGTATTTTTTTTTTGGGGGGGGGAGGGGGGGGGCTCCTTATTATAATTATAGTATAATATGCCCCAAAACCCTATTCTAATTTTTAAGGCCCCTATATCATGACTTCTGCTGATCCACTGTTGCTGTTATGTCTTAATTCCGTGATCCTGGTTCCCAGTGTCCTTGTATTCTTGTGCCGACACTTACGACAGTCTTAAACCCCAACACTTGCATTCGCTAAATCCTAAAGCAGGAGAACGTCCAGCATGAAGTGGGTGGGCAAAGCCTGGCACCGGGCATGCCCAGCTCTGAGAGGGCCAGCTTTTAATGTACTTAGTTCTCCCAAACCTAACCTTTAAACTTTTTTGGGCTCTTAATGTTGCGTAGAAATCTGAAAGTTTGACTTTGTATTTTGCCTGGCTTACTGGGGAAGCAAGCGTACCGGACTTCATAATCAGTACTTGTTTCGGTGCGATATTAGAGCATAGGTGCATGAGAATTAAGAGATGGATACTTTCGATAATAACTCGGTTCCAGGCTTGGGGCCTGCCAAATGCTTAAGGGCTTTGGGGCTTTGGTGGTTCAGGGCTTACGCGAAGGTTCTGGGCAGGAGAGCAAAGGGGCGAGAGAAAACCATGGGAACCTGGATTGTGTGATCAAGATCATCCATGAGGAAAT